CTGCGGGGTGAGCTGATGGTAGGCCAAGCAGCCCCTGAACTGTGGGGTCCCCGGTCCTTCCCTCCAGAGTAGCAGTGTCCGTGGGGGTTGCCGAAGTAGGCTGCTAATGGGCTGGGTGCTGCCCTAGCTTGGAGGCAGCACCCAGCTGGATCCAACACTTTCCCAGCCCTGCCAGGGCTTCCAGCGCCCCATGCACTGTCATTGCTGCCTTCCCGCCACTGGGACTGGGGTGGCTTGCCCCTGGGGCAGCACAGGTGTGCTGGTGTGTGCTGGCGGTGGGGATGGTGCATGGGGCACTGGAAGCTCACTGAGTCCAAGCTTCCCTGAGTCTGCCTTGGCTTCCAGTGCCCCGTGCACCATCTCCGTCGCCTTCTCCAGCTGCCAGCACACCTAGCTGCCCTCCTGCTGCCTCCCTGTGCTGCCCCAGGGGAAGCCAGCCCATTTCTGAGTGGTCCCAGGTGGCAGGAAGGGGGTGGGGACCGTGCACAGGGTGTTGGAACCCCAGCAAGCTTGGGTAACAGTTGGATCTGGCCAGGTACTGTCTCTGAGCTGGGGCAACACCCAGCCACTAGCAGCCTGCCCGGGTGGCCCTGGGAGGTACTGCCACCGCAGAGGGAAGGACTGGGGCCTCCCACAGCTTAAGGGCTGCTCAGCCCACACCGGCAGCTCACCCCCCTGCCGCAGGAGAGATGGACAGGCTTTTCCCCAGTAAAAGAAAAAAAGGATCAGGCCCCTCATTGCTGAAGGCAGAAACAGCAAGGGGCCTGATCCTTTTTTCAGCACAACTTGCCCGCCTCTCCTGTGGCCAGGGGGCAAGCTGACAACTGCATCATTGCAATTTGCAAAGTTGCAAACTAAACTGCATCTGGATATAGTTTGCAACAATGAAAGGTCATTTAAAACCCCCAAAAGTCTTGCACGTGCACATTGTGATGCCAGTAAGTGAGACAAAGTGACATTTTCATCATGGGTACATGTTAGTGGTGTCAGGTGTACAGGTGCCCAAAGGATAACGGTAGAGGTGAGATAGTAGTTCCACATGAATATAAGAAAGGATGGAAATTGCATGCTTATGCCAAGTGGCACAGTCTCTACCAAACTTTTTAGAGCTTTGTTTCTGAAATTCTGTAAAGAAATGCCGTTCCTTATGCCTCATGACCTGTGCATTCAGCTTTAATTTTGATTGCCTGCAACAGAGTTTCACTGGGCTGAGTAAAATTTTCCTAACCTATGAAGTATTGTGCTATGCAGATGAGCAAAAGATAAATCTAAAGAATTTCAGTGTAGTTCCATAAGGACACAGATAAACCTCTGTTTTAATTTATTCTTCCAAAAGTTTTCCTGTACAGTAGACAAGTTGATTTCCAGAGCCTTGAGTCTAAGAGCTTCAGTTTTCCTGCCATGATAAAATACTCAATACTGTTTCTGAATATTGTTCATTTTTCAGTTAATGCTGGCTAACAACACTAACAGGTCAAAAGTCCGTGGGGCCCAGTCTGTGGGCCCAGTCTGGACTGTGACTTGCAGACTAGTCTCATGCCACTTGTCTCAGGGCTGGATGAGTTTGACATCTCTATTTTACAGGATTATGCAAAGGCAACAAATTAACTTGTAACGGTTGCTGCACACTTTTGAGAAGCTGTCCCTCCAGTTGTAAAACAGCCAAAATATATGGTTTTCTGTATTCTAAATTCCAGCAGTTCTGGTGTGCTTAGATTACAGCATAGTGGTATTAAAGGGACAAAGTATCAGAAGCTTTGGGAAAGTATAGTCAGAGGATACTTTCTTACCATACAGGGGTGTTATGAGGATCAATTCATTGATAAGTGTAGAAGTCTGAGATTTTTGGATAGAAGATATAAGGTGATCTTTATATATATTTATTGTGTGTGTGTATAAAGAGAGAAATATAAAACATAATAATTTTCTTTCTGGTTCCATAACTTATTATTTTCAACTTGTAGCGTATTTTGGGATCTATACTGTGCAGCTCCAGAAAGACGAGAGACATGTGAACATTCAAGTGAAGCTAAAGCCTTTCATGATTATGTAAGTTTACTGAATTTTGTTTATTTTATATATGGTTATTTTAATGAATGATTTATGTCTGGGTGGGTTGTAAATCAAAGAAGGGTATGCCTGTTTATACTCCCTGCTTCATTCAAGTACTCTGATTTGTTTTCCATTGATGCTTTAGAATTAGATTGATTTTGGGAATTTGCATCCCTAAAGAAGGTAAAATCCTTATAATGTCCTTTCTCCTGTCACAATAATGGGCATTAAGAAGTGAGTTAAACAAAAAAGACCAAATTATCAGTCCCATGGGAGGAAAAAGGGGAAAAAGAGGGCTTAGGCCAATTTCCTAGTTCTTTGATTTAGTCTGACACAACTTAAAGTGGTCTCAGGGATGATCGAAATTGCTTTACTTCTCAGTGGCTTGAGAAAGCTGTTCCAGTGACTTGGAATAGCCAGAATATAGTAAGATGTCCCAGGAGGGCTGTAGCAGGACCAAAAATCTGGTCTACGGTGTTTGTTTTAAGGTTGAGTTTCTTCAGTTTGTTTGCTGATTTCAATTAACTTTTGTATGGAACAACACCTTCTGCAATAAATATGAAGTAGACTGCTTTACGGGTAGTTTAATTTGCATTAGTTTGGCAAGTTAAATAAATTGGCAGAGCAATTACAAAGTGTTGAGCCTTCAGTCTCTATATTGTCTGAAGAATCCTACATGTTGACCCAAACTGTCATCAACAACTGACTTGGTGTCTTAAGAGTATGTAAATTAGTGGTGATCTTGATTCCATTCCTTGTTAACAGGAAAATGTACCACAAAACCATCTGCATCACAGTTAGTGCTAACTGTTATCCCCTGCAAAAAAGACCAGGAACATTGCATCAACTCTTTAAAATATCCTTCTGGTTAGGACTGGGGCTGATTGGCTGAGTACCATACATTTTGTGTATTGGCTGTTTGTTGTGCGGAGGAATTATGTGTTAATCTTTCTTCGAGGCTACCAGTTCTGCACTTCCATGAGCAATTAAACAAAATATAGACGGGGATGATAAAAATAAAACTTGAATAAATACCACCTAGGTGAGGTTGTCTCAACTGACTTTTCTTTCTGAGAGACTTTTTTTAAATGAAAGTAGATCACATTTCTATAACTTAGCTTCTTTTTCAGTTTTTAGCACATGATTATTTAACAGTACAAATTTTTGATAAATTTGTGGTTTCATTTAACACTTCTTAGTTGAGAAATATTTAATCCGTCTGTAGGAAAGATTGCATTTCTGATGATTATGACTGCAGGGAAGAAAGAACAGTGAAATTAAATAAATGTGGGGAGATAAGAGTCCCCCAGTGTCACAGTCTGATCATAGCAAGATATTAGACAGTAATTACATAAAGAATGTGCCAAAATGAAATTTAGAAACTCTAAAAATTGTTTTGAAATAATTTTTAAATGAAGTTTGTTGTTAGAAATACTGTCAATAAATATGATACTTGAAAATGGAAAGAGGGTTGTCTTAAGACCTTTAAAATCATAAGTTGACTGTTTAGTCTAAGTTGTGAAATAATTTAGGGAGGATTTCAGTGGATGAATCACAATAACATCTAAGAATTGTTTTTAATTTTAGTATTACCTTTAGATTGTTATAAAATATATTATACTGGGTTTGTTACTTAGTTTTATAGTTCATTTCATTGTGTCTGCATTAAAAAAAGATACAATCAAATTAAGTTTTTGTATGAAGCAAGTATGTACTTGCCTGGACTCCCTAAATTACTGTGAGTAGACTGGTCTAAAGTAAGATGAAAAATGGAGAAGTGGTGTACATGGTATGCTCCTGTGTTTTCATCATCCTGTAAAAGGCAGGACAATTATATGATCTTCCATATCAACCAGGTTTAAAGCAATTTTTTTAAAAATTGAGGGATGGTAGTATTACTTTTTAAAGTTTTACTACATTTAAAAAACACTGTTTTCTGGTAATTACATTTGATTTGGCAAGATAAAATAATTGGAGGTAAACTGTTAAATGGTGCTAGTTTATAAATGCATTTATGTATTACTGCTACTGTTTGCTTTGGGGTGCAGTGGCAGTGATTGAAGCATCTTGCTATGGCACTCATGGGGTTAATTTACACCCTGCCCTGGATTTGTGCAAATGGCTTCCCCCAATATAGTAGTAAATGGGTACTGGCTATTCAGACTGAGGAGGCAGAGGCATCAGAGACATGATGCTAGCTGTTGACTACAGAGACTGGCGTGCATTAAACATTAGCCCAATTAGTTGTTTGACTTGACTTGATTTGCTGTTACCTGCTATTAACTTCTCTGTCTCATGATGTGTAATGGGGTAATTGTTTTTAAAGGTTTTTCTAACTTGCTATCACTGGGATGTGTGTCATTTTTAATGTGATAGTATGTGAATATGCTATTCCATTTATTTTTTGCAAAAATCAAAATGGATTGTCAGTAGGCATGAATATGACCTCTCACAGTATTAATACCATCCTTTGGTTTCATCTGTATTTTTACCTAATGTAATCAACTAGACTATGGTAAACCTGTTTTTGAAATATAACGTCTACTTTTAGGATCTAAGTTCTCTCAAATGCATTTTACATTCATATTGAAGCATATGGAAATGGTATGGTGGTAAAATTCAGTCTAATATAATACTACCGAAGTCAAATACAAATGTTTTTAAGGCTCTCTGAAATCCTCACCACTGAGAATTTTGTCCTTGACTTCAGTGGGTCTAGGATTTTACCATAAATATTAGAATCCTAGTCTGTGGTTGAATTTAGAGGCTTGGATAACATCAAACCCCATATCTGGATTTCACAGTAGGCGTTCAGTTATGCAACATATCTATTTTATGTGGTAATATCAAAAACCTTTAACTGTCACACAAAAAAATCCACAGAAGTCTAATCTGTTAGTTCACATGTAGTGAAAGGAGTTTTTATTTAGTCTGTGCCTTCTTAGTTAAAGAAAATTATTTCCATTTACGGTAAGAACACCCTTTTCTCATAAAATCCATCATTAATAACATGGCCAGGTACAGGTGTTACACTTTTACCAGTATAAGTGATTGGAAACCAGTCTATACCCATAACAGAACAGAAGTTCAGCATACAGAGACTGGTTTTAAAATGGTGAAAACTGGTCTAAGATGCCCGCCCTCCTTCTGCCTCAGACCATGCCAGGACAAGAAATGTAAAACCTGCCAACACATCTCCAACACTCACAATAACCACACGCCACAACAAAACCATCACCGTTCCTGGATCTTAGACCTGCGTCTCCAGAAATGAAATATATCTCGTCCAGCGCACTAAATGCCTTGATGGAAAATATGTAGGAGAAACCAAACAACAACTGCATACCAGAATGAATGCACAGCATAAATATATCAAAGAGAAAAATACCCAATTACCTGTGGGTGCACACTTCTCACAGGACAACCACTCTCTCCAATCTCTCAGTTCTAATCCTCAAAGGGAATGTACAAAACACCTTTTCTGGATGAGCCTACGAACTTCACTTCATAAATCTACTGGATACAAAAAATTGTGGACTAAATATAAACATTGGATTTATGGCACATTATAACCTGCCTAACATCTGATAACCCCAGGTAACCTGTCTGCATTTTACCAGCTATGTTCTATCCCCAGTTCAATATTCCCCGTCCTGTGCCATCCCCCCCCCCCACCTGTCTAACACCTGTTGTTTCCCATTCCCTCTGATCCTCACTGCCATGCATTTGCATTTTCACAGACCTGCACTTTGCATTTTGGTTTCTATTCCACCCAGGAGAGTACACAAAACACCAAAAGACTCTCCCTATGCCTGAAGAAGGGCTTTTATATCTGAAAGCTTGCAAGGAACTATTTTTCCAACTATTTAGTTGGCCTAATAAAAGATATCACATTGGTACAAAGAACCTTGTCTGCCTATGTTCTTAGACCAAGATGGCTACAACCAACAGCTCTCATTCTTTTAAATGAAATTTGAGATTCTGAAGTGTAATTCTGCAGCTAGGTGTGGCTTCTGTGGCCATGGAATATAATCAGGTATCTGCTTATCCTGCACAAGGCTTTGTCTAATAATGGTATAAGTAATCTCTACCAAGAGTGATACTTCCTTCTATTCTCAGAAGTAATGCTTCCTTAGAAGAGATCTGCAAGAGTGACATGGGATCCTTTGAATACAAGGACACCAGTGTTTCTGTAGACTCAGCTTTTGACAGAATTCTTTTTGAAAAGTACTTCCAGGATACTGGAAGGAAAGAATGCTACACAGACTGACACTGTCCCCTTGCAGAACAGTTCAAGATTAAATAATAATCATCATAATCTGTAATTTGCATAATCAGCACTACTACTGTTGCCCTTTTGTTGACATGCATCTCTTTCCATACAGTCACTATTAAAACACTGAACTTTATGTATAAAAGTTGTTCAGTTTAAATTCGAGTAAGACTCCTTTTTCCTGGATCAATTCCACTCCAAGTAGATGTCCAACCTCCCAGCTTTAAGTATGCTTTAAGGTAAGTTGGGGGATATTCTTGGATTGAGAAGCTAAAAGGAGGTTAAAGAAACCTAGGTTTTGCTATGAAATAATTTAGATTTGTGGGGAACCCATTCCTACTCACATATGATATACATGAAAACCCATGTAGTTAAAGACTGTCCTTGTATATTAGACAAATAGCATTAACAGTTAAGAAATTCTTCTTTGATATAGTATTCCCTTCTTTAAATTAACTTTGTTACCAATTGATGTGCCTTAGGATTGTTGACAAAGGTAACTAAACATTCAAGGTAATAGGTTAAAGGTTAAGAAATGTTAATATCAGTGCCTGATAGAATGTATAGATTAATGTTTTGTTTAAGAGACCAAGCCTATATCCTCAAGGTAGTAAACTGTTTAACAAAATATGGGAAAAATTTGGAAATAATACCAAGAATTCTAACTATAAATCAGATAGCAGTGGCATGACAACCTCAAGAGATGCTCAAGAGATCCCAGGAA